ATTTAGTATTTGTATGAACTGTTGCACGTATGTGGTGTATCCAGATCTGTGTCGAAACAGCGTGCGATTATTGAACACACTTGATTTCCAAAGTGGATCGTTTATAATAAACGGTTCTCCAGTTCAACAATTGAGTGTTGTTTGCCAGATCTGTGCTTCCTTATTCGAGAGGTTATTTGGAAGGTAATGTACGACAGTTTGTTCAGTAGCAAGCGAATCCGCGACGCGCTATCGGACGACCTGTAAGGTACATCGCCTCTCAGTACACCTCTCGAATTGGGAACGCTCTAGAAGAAAGAAGACGGAGAAGAAAGAAGATAACCATTACTTGAAGGTCACGCGTATTCTTGGGGAATTAACACACATTGTGAGATGTTATTGCTTGAGAATACACGTAGCTGACAAGGAAAAAAGCATCAGTATCTTCAATCAAGTCAGGGGGATGTGGCGATTGTCTTCTATCACGATCTGTGAGGTACACGTATCCTGATAGAGGAGAAAACAACAGTAGCTCCTAGAGCTAATGTAGAATTAGATCTGTATAAAATGTGCTTGCTTGTGAAATTGTCGAAATGTTGCAAATTATTATGAACGAACCTTGTTCAATAACTCCTCCAGTCATTTTTATTTTACTGAAAAAAAATATACCAACCGAATTGAGAACCTCCTCCTTTTGTCGAAGTCGGTTAAAATAGCGTTTTTCACATTTTACCTACAAGACGACAATTTCACAGGTCAACACCAAAGGTGACAGTTAAATGTATTTAAATGTATGTAATATTGATGTTACTAGTAGATCTAAGTAGATGGTCATACGTATTTTGAAATAGTAGCTATAATAAATGTTCTACACTGATTGCCTGAAAGTAATAAGATTTGAATCACATCACCTGAAAAGTGTACCTACTTAATATTGTGCGATATTGTAATACTTTTTTGCTGTACCTTCAAAATAATGATAGGGTTCCAGTGTATGCTGCTAGCAGTTGCAGAAGTGTATCTTGGAAATTAACAATACTAGGCAGAGTTGCACCTTCTAACTTTAACAGTAACTATAAAGATAACCGGTGTTTTTTGTAAGGAGTTTCGACAGATTTTTGACGTTTGTTAAAGTTAAAGGAAGATGGTGTAACCCAGCCTAAATATTCAAAAGGTAGTGTCATTTAGAAATGTTGTCACTAATAACTTTGCATGATACGTACATAATAAAGTGTTTAGGTTCTATGGAAGCTACGTGTAAGGCTTGTATTTTGAAACAACATTTAAAACTTATTCAAACTCAATCATAGATTCAAGCCTGTGATTGTAATTTCCAATATTCATACTTATTTATCATTCAGAATACAAGCCTTAGAGGCTGATAAATAATAATTATGATTATAAATTGTCTCATTCTAATAAATCAGGACTCGAATAATCAGTTAATTTAATATGTGATTGATTTATAAAATAATAATAATTTTCAAATTATATAATCATTTTGTTTTGGTATAAGAAATGTTGTTTGATTATAATAAATAATATTGATACTTTGAGAAAATCTTTATACAGATAATATCAAGTTTCTCCAATGTATTTTTTTCTTTTGTGAAATAAAAACTAACTGATCCCGAGGACCTGATGGTTTTGATTGCATACTAATACCTTTTTACTTCCAGGTGCTGTCTTGCTGTGGTGGTGACACCCATTGGAGCAGGCTGGACGGCAGTATTCAAGCCACTACTCCGTCAAAACCCCATCAATCAATTTTTTCTTTTATTTTTGTTTTAGCGTTATCAGAATGTTAAAGTTTCTAAAAGTAATACCGCCTTGTTTTGTATAACACTAAAAATTAGTATAGATCACAAAATATTCATAATTATGATTGTATAAATGTAATGTTTTTAACAGGAAAAAGAAATAGCAACTGTTTGACGATTAATCTTATTTGAAAATGCCTACCTAAATTTATATCGAGCAAAACTGTTATGTCTGGCATTTATAAAATGTATGTAAAACAAAATGTAATAAATATTTAAAAGAAAAACCTCTTTCATTTTTCTTCAGCCCCGAAGCAACACTAAGCGGAATGTTAGCTATTTGAGAAATTTCAATCCTTCTTTCCCTGAAATTATTTCCTGGATGCCACCAATTTCTTTATTATTTGAGAAACATAAAGACAACAGAAATATTAAAATGACAAAATCATAATAAAGAATGTTTATCTTAAAAATATATTTGGAATCAATACTCACCACAAATGATAGGCCGCTTCTTAAAACCGGCTAATCTGAAAATCATTGTCACGAAAGCCTATGTTCAGCAGTGGACATCATGTGGCTAAAATGATCTAGTATAGGATAGGTATTTATCTACGTAACTAACATCTTTTCGTCCAAAATACCCCAATGCCTGAAGACGAAAGTCTACAATCAATGTGTGCTACCAGTGATAACTTATGGCTCGGAAACGTGGCCTCTCATTATAGGCCTTATACAGAAGCTCAAAGTTGCACAGCGTGCTATGGAGAGGGCTATGCTTGGTGTTTCTTTGCGAGATCGAATCAGAAATGAGGAAATNGCGCGAGCCCGACTCGCACTTGGCCGGTTTTTTTTCACAATAATTGAATATTGCTGAACTACCTCCGGATGAATGATAGGGTTCCAGAGAATGCTGCTAGCAGTTGAAGAAATGTACCTATCTTGGAAATTAACAATAGATATTTAAGGCTGGGTTGCACCATCTTACTTTAACTTTGACAAACGCCAAAAATCTGTAAAACTCCATACAAAAAACACCGGTTATCGTTATAGTTACGGTCAAAGTTAGGTGGTGCAACTCAGCCTAAGTAAAAGGTAGTGTCATTTAGAAATGTTGTAACCAATAACTCTGCATGATACGTACATAAAAGTGTTTAGGTTCGATGTGTGTTCTAGCAGTAGGTAAGGTTTGTATTCTGAAACCACACTTAAAAAACTTCATAAATTCAAGCCTGTGATTGTAATTTCCAATATTTAAACTTATATTGATTGATACTTTTAGTGACAGCCTTAGGAGGCTGATAAGTAATAATGATGATTATGTATTGTCTCATTCAAATAAGTCAGGACTCGGTTAATCAGTTAATTTAATATGTGATTGAATTATAAAATAATAATAATTTTAAAATTACATAATTATTTGATGTGTAATAAAAATGTGATTATAATATTCATGCTTTAAGAAAATCTTTGAACTGTTATTAACTTTCCAATGTATTCTGTATTTTGTAAAATGAAAATTAACTGAAGCCAAGGCCTGACGGTACCTAATTTTTGTATACTAATACCTTTTTACTTCCAGATGCTGTCTTGCTGTGGCGGTGACATCAATTGCAGCAGTCTGGATAGCAGCCTTCAAGCCCCTACTCCGTTTACACCCCATAAATCAAAATTTCCTTTTTTTTTTACTTTAGCGTTATCAGAATGTTAAAGTTTCTAAAAGTAATACCGCCTTGTTTTGTAAACACTTATAAATGAATAAACTAAGTTATCACTTAAATTTAGATTGTATAAATGAATTGTTTTTGTCAGAAAAAATAAATAGCAGAATTTTTTCTCACTGTTTGATGATTAATCTTATAAAAATATCTGCCTAGATTCATATCGAGCAAAACTGTTATGTCTGGCATTTATAAAATGTATGTAAAACAAAATGTAATAAATATTTAAAAGAAAAACCTCTTTCATTTTTCTTCAGCCCCGAAGCAACACTAAGCGGAATGTTAGCTATTTGAGAAATTTCAATCCTTCTTTTCCTGAAATTATTTACTGGATGCCACCAATTTTTTTTATTATTTGAGAAACATAAGGACAACAGAAATATTAAAATGACAAAATCATAAAAAAGAATGTTTATCTTAAAAATATATTTGGAATCAATCAATACTCACCACATATGATAGGCCGCTTCTTAAAACCGGCCAATCTGAAAATCATTGTCCCGGAAACCTATGTTCAGCAGTGGACATCATGTGGCTAAAATGATCTACACTCAACATCAAATAAACCGCACCTTCCGCGACACGAACTTTAAAGATTTTCTTCTGACTCAATCATAGTGCCCCAACAGTATTGGTGTTATTTGAAAGCCCTATAAATATCCTTAAAGAAAAACACATTTAATTTCTTAATAAGCGATTAACATATACCATAAATGTGACTTGAAAAGAGACCTCACTTTGGGCTCACCTCTGGGATCAATTAGACCAATTTTTATGGTTATAAAACCAAATAATGATCTCACGTGTCCTCTTTAACAGATTGATAGCGATTAATCCCAACTTAACAGTTTCATAGCCATAAAAGTTGACTCAAGCGTAACTACCTATTTTTTGAAGAAGTGACTCTGGATCCTTCTAAAGACACAATTTTGGGGTAAAAACCTTTCCTTTAATGAAATGAAGTTTAGAACTAAGCTTTTAAATGGTGCCAATATTGGTGGGAAGTGGGGATGCATACATTTGAAAGTGCTTGTCGCGGTAGGTGCGATTTATTTGATGTCGAGTGTAGTATCTGATATCTTGTAGTGACAAGAAAATGATTTTATCTTGGAGAAAATCTATAGGTACTTCAGAGATCAGCTGGGACTCAAACCCATGATATGATATTATGTAGATATTTAGTACAAGGTGTACAGCTAAGGTTGACATAATTATAGCTGTAAACACTAGATAATAATAGTAGATGCGATTTCGATATCGCTATGCTACATCGCTAAGGGACGAAAGAAACATCCTAGGATCATGAGAAGTGTATCATAACAACATATTGAACAACTATTGAATAAAGCTCTGTGACTTATTGTGATATAATCTGACATTAGAAGAAAATTTTCAGTATGAGGAGTACAAAGAAAAACACATGAAATTAATTTCGGAAAACTCGAATTTAATATTGAAAGCAAGAATCTCTCTTAAATTCTTCTTAACAACCTGTTCCTACACAATATAGAAAAAAATGGTAAAAAATGAAACTTATTAATGAACAAAAATATTTTATTGCAATAAACTAAATCACTGAAGAGTCTGCCACGTCTGCGCTCAAAGCATATGAAAATAACATATTACAAACTCTATGTAACACAATTTAAGATTCTATTATTTATTTATTGTTACATAAATATTTACATATTGCTGTTACAATGGCAGCATAGTAATAGTCTTAAACACTACAATCACCTTTCAGAAATAAGTTATCTACAAAATAACTCGTACGGAACATAAATCACTTTGTATAATTCTTCATTGTGACGATTCCACCATCTTACGTTAACGACAAATCTTCCTTAACTAGATAAGTCCATGTTTTAAGTATCTATTATAGAATATTTCACTCTAACGCGTCATAACTTTTCACATAAGCTGCAAAAGTTCGAAAATACATAGATATTGAATGCAACTATTGATTAGAAGTACTGTATGTTAATCTAAGTCGTCGGCCTCGGGCGAGGCTCTGGGAGCGATTCTGCTAGAGTCCGACGGCTCTGGCAGTAAGGGGGGATCACCCTGGTCTGTGCCGACGCCTTTGTTCCGTCTGCGGTCCAGGGTCTCAACTGGACTTACATTCACGGCCTGAGCAGCACTTGAGGAATGGACCTGCTCATTCTCAAGGCCGACACTAGTGGAATGGCCGGTAGAACCCTCTCTGATCGCCTTCGGGTTTGTTAATGTTGCGATTTCTTCGATTCTGATAACTTGACCGACTGCTGCAACGTGTTTGTCGCTTCTGCTATCTATCGTAGGAGCAGCAGGCGCGTCATCGCTTTCGACGGACGAAATTGTGTTTGTGCCTGCTGCGACAGTTTCAGTCGAGGTTGATCTGGATGATATGACGTCACCTGTATGAGTGGTGTTAGTTTGAGCTGTGGAGACAGATGGTGACGTTTGCGTAGTAGACTGGACGGTGTTTTGAACAGTTTGGGTAGTGGACTGGGTTGTGGGGGGTGTGGCTTGCGTGCCAGTGCCCGTGCCACCCGGTGCGTCGTGGTATGCCGCTCCGCTGGCGAGAGCGGCAATATTGGCGAGACCCATCATACCCATGCCTCGATGCGTCCTCAGTAACAGGTGCTGTAGTTGGGCCTGCTGTAGTATCACCGGGAGCTCGTAGTGATGGAAGAAGTACAGCATGGAGTGCTGAAACAAAAACGATATATTGATTCTCGTTCCGCACGAACACCTGTGAGAATGATTACACATTGTGGGGGTAGCACGTAGCAATAAATAAACGCTAAAGAGATAAGTCGGGTATCGGAGGTGCGGCGGGAAGTGGCTGCAGCGGCGAGGTTATGAGACACGTCCGTCGAACTGAGCGAAACTCCTTTAGACAAATAAATGAGCGACTCGTGCTCGTCGCCTTTATTTATTTATTTCTGGGTCAGAGTTCGCTCCCCTTGCGACGTCCGACGTAAGTTTTAATTAAGAAACTTGTGACCGCTGCCGACTGAACTTTTATTTGAAATTATATTTTGTGATCCCCTCGTTTTGATTTTTTCCGAGTGTCGCCGTGTAACGGGTTGCGACTGGCGACACCTCCGTGATTTATTATTGAGGGCGCCCCGCCGGTGAGATAATTGAAAGATTTTTGTATCAATCCCTTTCATTTTTGCTTCAGGTTATAACCATCAGCATCGACAGCATATTTCAGAGTTATATGCTTATAGGTTCTCTATTTCATCTAAAGGTTCACTAGGAGAGAATTACTTTTGGCATTAAGTTCGCTTTTTGGACTTTTATTTCTAATGTCTTAGTTATAAATAACTAGCTGACCCGGCGAACTTTGTTCCGCCTTAATGGCAATAAATAAGCAGACTTTTTTTTTAATTTCGAACGGTATAAAAAGTATCCTATGTCCTTCTCCTGGCTCTAAACTACCTCCCTGACAATTTTCAGCTAAATCGGTTCAGCCGTTCTTGAGTTATAAGTGGTGTAACTAACACGACTTTCTTTTATACATATAGATAAATCAATAGGTACTACTTCTCCACAGAAACTGTAAATTAAATATTTCATTAACAATTTATTCGACAAATAATTGATATAACCATTGATGTAACATCAAATTCATTCACCGTGTATACGAGTAGACTCGAACTCGTTTCATATGAAAATTTGTTAACATAAAATCTTTGTTACAACCGAAATCGCAATCGATATGAGTTAATTTCGCTGTAAATGTGGGCCACCGGGACTCGACGCACCGACAGTCGTAATTAACACGAGCGGCCAATCTGCGCGGATCATCGCCACGGCAAATATAAAAAAGGATCAAACGTTTAAAATATAAAAAAGGCATTTAATGGACAGAAATGATGCCCTTTTATACTTCCATTAAAATCCGCCGCTTTGACCCGAACGGTTAGATACGAATAAAAAACGGGAGGGCTTTTTTATCAATTTTCAGATCGTTTGTAGCAGATTACAAGCCAGATACTGTTAGGCTCGACGTGGGAATCGCCATTCAAAGGACGTCGCCGACGTTTGTGCTGTGATACCTATCCGCAGATTTTTGGTGTTTGATAGCAAAATTCTGATTTATAAAAGGACGAACCTCTCAAAATGAAATTAAATATCAGGATTAAAATAAATGTTGTCAGGGTTTACACAAAGATATATTTTTTGTGTCTTTTAGCTGTTTGAAAGTGAGTTGAAAGAAAACTCCAACATGAGTGCACTTCGTAAAATTATTCGTTCATTTTGTGAGATATTGTAGTAGTACAATATATTTTCACGGAGTGCAACGACTTGCAGTCTCCGAGCGAGCACTAAACGCGTCGTTTTATAAAACAACTGCAGCTAAAACAACGGCCAGAAGCAGACTTAACATTTCAAAGGCCACGGAAACTTTGTGATGATAAGTTTCGCCACAAAAATGTCTTAAACATTTTACGCGTTGATTATGCTGAGAGCGGCGCCGAAAGTGAACTTATTATGATTTAAAATGCAAGGAAAAACCCGGCCAAGTGCGAGTCGGACTCACGCACGATGGGTTCCGAACCTTTAATATTTATTTTATTTTAATCGAACTATTTATTTTTAAAGTGAATACACAATCAAATAAACATTCTGTAGAATTTAGTATTTGTTGTTATAGCGGCAACATAAATACATCATCTTTGAGAATTTCAACTGTCTAGCTATCCCGGATGAGCCCATGAGATAGGTACTAGCCTGGTGACAGAAATGACAGCGAAGTCTTAATAACTAATAGGTCCCGTTTTTACCCTTCGGGCACGGAACCCTAAAAACATTCGAAGTCGGTCCACCCCGCCGGACGAGGGATGTTTTTACTCAAAAAGTGAGTCCCTTTTCATTTAACTAATCCCGGTGTAGACAAGCAGAGGTGCTTCGTTTACGAATTAGATGCTAAAACAGTGAAGTTAAAATGAATTTGGAATTAATTTTGAATGAATTGAAAGAGGCGGTTGACAAAGAACGTTTGCTGCACACTTTTTATCAAAGATCCGTTAGTGCAAATATGTAACGTTGCAGCATTGCATAAAGAGTTAGCATTAAATACCTTACTACTCGTACATACAATCCATGTTGCTCATACGACATTATTTAATAGATAGAGCTTTACTTACATCTAAAGTCTTAAAAAGTGGCGTCTTTTTTACTTTGAGTTATTCCTCTTCTTTTGCAATGACCTTACTAACCACACACTGGAAAAAAACATATGATCTTGACACCATAGGTATGTGTAATAGGAATGAAACATGGCATTTTGAGTAGCCACTAGACTGGCAGGAGGCGTTTTTCTGATCAAAATTATTTTTCTACTAAACAAAAACCAAAACTTGCCAGCACACATTAGTAGCCCCAGAAATCACAAGTTTATATACATACGATGCGTAATCAAGTTCATTTCTTAATGCCTATACAGGGTGGAAAAGATAAGTGATCTCATTCGATTATTTCTAAACTATACAAGATATCGAAAAACTGATTACTAATCCTGAAAGTACTTCACAAGCTCTATCCAACGGTACCAATATTAGGTTACAGAATTAACTGGATCTATCCGAAAATTTAATGTTTTCAGCCTCCATACTAAATGTATGCCAGTCAAACAATAATAGAAGTGTTAATTTTTTTTATTAAATAATAAACACTTAAAATGAACTCGTAAACTGCTTTCTTATTTAAAATTATTCTTGGAAAACATTGGTTTTAGGCTTTACTTGCTATAATATTAACAAGGCATGAGTGCCATGACTGTGGCTGTACTAAATGTATGGAAGCTGGAAACATTGAAATCTCGAATGGATCCAGTTTATTCTGTAACCTATTAGTGGTACCGTTTGAAAGAGCTTGTGAAGCACTTTCAGAATCAGTAATCAGTTTTTCGATATCTTGTATAGTTCATAAATAATCGAGTGAGATCACTTAACGTTTCCACCCTGTATATGTTGTATTATGTTGAGTGGATTGTGTGAATTTGTGTGTCAAGTTTACGAGATGCAAAAACAGTAGCTTTCCAGTTCCTCAATCAAATATTCAATGAAAACTCCACACACAGTACACAGTTAACCACAAACAAGACTACGGGTTGTAACGGTTACACTGAGTATGTTTGACTTGCCCAACTATAATTTGCAAGAGATCTGCAAGATTACAGCACTTTGCGCCGTGATGGGGCCCTTTCCTTGTTGATTTAGGGCTTGACAGAAATTAGCTAGGGCACGGCTATTAGGGACGCCCTTTCGGCGATAGGACAGAAAATGTTAGTCTTTGTACTGGTGAAAATTATTCTATTGTTTAAAAAGGTGCTATTGATAATTTCAAATTACCGGGTAACTAAGTACTAATAGAAAACATATAGCTGACTTAGAAAAATAATATGCAAATAATAAAAAAAAATGTTTCAAAAATCATACCAATTTTACTTTAAACTAATCAGAGCTTATATTTAAACAGGTAGGTACGAGTACTTGGTTTACAAGTATAAAAAAGTACCTAATTATTTCAATTTATAGCTTCTGTCAGATTCAAATCTGCTGGCACAGAGCTCCAGTACATGAGCTACCAGGCTGTCTCTTAAAGAAGATATTTATATTTATTGAAGAAATAAAAAAAAAAACTACTACTACATGTCTCTACATACGGCGTGAAAATGAGACCATGATTACATACATAATATAAATTAATTTATCAGCTCAATTTGCGAGTTGCAAACAAGTTTAGAGCTTTAAAATTAACGTGACGAGTGTTGAAAGGCGGCGCTGTATTATGCGGAGCGCGTCTTCAGCGGGACCACCTCATGAAATATGATTTTTATTAATAACTTGACACGCTCGATGATTATAAGATAAGCCTCCACTTTGCATTCCGGAGGGGCCCCTTGTTTTTCAACGTCGCCTATAATCCGAAGGCCTACAGTCGCTCGGGGCGCTCGCTCCCGACGCAGAATGCTCGCCGTATTTTAATCTAACAAGCGCGTTTCCATTATTATGTTACTGTGCCCCTGTTTACGAACTTAGTTTTAAATGCATAGAAATATGTTCGCGACAATTTGAATTTGCAGCGGCTTGCTGATGGGAATACTTTTACTTTGTTGAATTCGTATTCGTTCTGTGGCAGCATAGAGGCACGTGCGATCAGTTTTATGTAATATTTTATTTATTTATTTAGGACAACCAACAAGACAGACACAAGTAAAAGCAAAGGGGTTTACATACATATTTAAGCAGTGAATATTTTTTATTTAAGTCGTTTATCATTTATACGTACAAAAGTGCAAACTGCGGTGCTTGCTGGTGTTCAGTTTCTCAGATGGCTGTTAACAGACTACGAGGGCTGCACTAAAAGTATCGGGAATGGAATATTTCCACTGTTCCAGTCATATTAAAATCTATTTAATTGCANAAATACATTTTTAAATAGTAATGTTGTTTCACTTCCTTGATTCCCGAAATTTTCAGTGCCGCCCTCGTATAACTATAACACCTATCTAAAATGTATCGTAAAAAGCAAGTATCGCTGTTGAATCATTACCCTAGGTTGTATCTAAATTGTATCTAACCATAAAATTAGTCAAAGCGTCCATAATTTAGAAAGTAAATGGTTACATTACTTACATTTTACGCATAAACGAACAAACTACCTCTCAAGCCTGAATGCGTACACGTAGTGGGCAAAAGGGTTTGTTTTAATTGCGAACAAAATAGCTGCCCACTATTATACTCTCTTCTACCACCTTATGCTACGTTAAACAAATAATATAAAATGTCACAACAATTCACAGAATTACATGCGATCATGGGGACAGATCGAAGAAAAATATCCGTTGGTAATAATAAGGCGGGCACCGCCGCGGGCGGGCATACGAATTCTGTTAGCTATAGAATAAACTAAGAGGCCAAACATTCCGGGGGGTTCGCGAACCGGCGAAATACATCTATTAGTGACGCTAGATGGCAGTCAACTATCGATAGTTGCCGGTTACAATTAAAAGATAAGATATTTAAAAATGGGCAGTGCAGGGCCGATCGTTGAAGAAATCTTTGGGAGGCATAGGACGTCATTTGGCTGAAACGACCGAAAAAACAATATTAAATTATAGAATTAACTACAGGGTCAAGCAATATGCACCAATAACCTAATTACGCTAATGTTAGTTTTTGACACAACTTGTATTAATCCTTCAAGCTCCGCGATTCTAGACACAATAGATAATCAATTGTTATGACATTAATTAATGCCGTCTGGGACTCAATCGCTTAATGAATTGAAAGTTGACAAGATGAAACGACTAACAGCAAAAATACTTTAGTCTATGTTTTTGAGAAGAAGCTTGACTCTCGTAACACAGGGTGGTTACCCGTGGTTTTACGGGAGCAGCACATATCTTGTACCTAATTACAAATATTTTCATTTTTCAGGAGCATTATTTTTCTATTTTCTGTTTCAAATGAAACCTGTTCCTGAAAAATATTTCTGGGACTTGTGCCTCATAGTCTTTCATTCATTTATGACAAAGTTCACAGTCAAATATAGTTTAAATTTATTATGAAGATCGAATAAATAATGTCGATGAGTTTTCCGGGCTTATAGTATCGTAACTTCGATAAACATTCGGGCATCACTGGGTACCGTGCTTGTACAAAGATAGGTATTGGGAGACATATTGATTTCCGATGGTTATTATTACATAATTGTAGTACAACATTGGGAACTTTATCAATGGAGTATGGCAACGTCTGAGAGAGACATTTTAGTATTTCGATATAAACGTTAAAATAAAATATACATACCAGTATTTTATTCCTAAATAATAATATCTCTTTAAATCAATTAAACGAACTTGGAGCTCTTGCCTAACGTAAAATATCGTAAGTGTAAAAATACTAATTGACTTTTATCGGATATCCTGCATCCGTTATGGGTTATTTTCTCTTAATAAACGAGTCAGCTCATTAGTGAAGCTGTCTAATTAACGAGATGTAATCTAATTAACAATTGAATTAAATTATCGAATACTTCACCCGTGTGAAATTTAGTTGAGATCTTTATAAATTGTAGCGTTGTAAAGTTTTATCAAAATTCGTTCAGTGGTTTTTACGTGAAACAGTAATATACATCAACCCTCACAAATTTTCATATTTATAATAATAGTAGGATAGGATAAGTAGTAATAATAGTAAAATTAACTTGACTTTTGAACTAGCATGTGCAATGTGTTAGTAGTGGTAGTGAATTAACTCGTCTTTTGAACTAGGCATGTGCTTGTGTATTCGCTACAGGCTATGAGGATTTAATATTACGCACGCGAATGCTGTTTGAATTGCCCCGGAAAACATTTGACAAACTTTGGCGCTGTTGCGGTGTCCACGTGGAGAAGTATCAAATTGCCACCCACACTAGTTTGTATCGCATACGTTATATAGGGTGTGCAATTAAATGTTTGTTTATGAATATGAGACATAGTATAGTCCGCGCCAACAGAAACTGACTAGTCTGAGTTCTGTTAATGTAGTATAATAAAAATCGGGCGACCCAGGACCGATTGTTGTGCAAATCCTTTGACGAGGCTTTTGTCCAGCAGTGGACGTCATTCGGCAGAAACGAAAAATCGACTCAAATAGAAATCAAACTTTAGTTTGCAATCACATAGACAGCTTGATATCTTAATCCGTTTTATTTGTTATGTACTAAAATTGACAGTTTCTATTCCAACGCAATGTTGTTGTTGTGTTGTGTTAAATGTTGCGCTGATTTCAAGACATTTAAAACTAAAGGCCACCTGATTGTGACTAAATGCCCCCTATAATTGTTTTTAACTCAAGCTTCATGAACAGCCTGTATGTTATTTTATATCAGAGAGGGCAAAGTTGAGTTTTGCGGGGTACTTACTGTCAGCGCGACTCCGTCACAATAACGTATGGGAACGTGATTCGTTGACAAATGTTCGCGGGGTAGCCCTCTTCCTACGGTAAGGAGCTTTCTAAGTTTAAAAATAATAACACTTCTGTGAATCACGATAAAAATATAATTTATTGAGGACATTTATTTAAAATATAACTCTCACCCAACTTTTAAATTGATTCGGCAAGCACGGATGTATTTATCTATTTATGCTAGTTTGAGGATCGCTTGGAGAGTCTATTAAAATCGCATGGCAATTTTGTCAAATCACAGAATGAGCAATATGGAGCGATACCTACAAAGCAATGTAAGAAAACTAGGCTTTCACCCGCTGCCGGTCTTATCACAGTGCAGAAGCGAGATATTGGTAGTTATAAAAAGTTAATAAGACAAAAATATTGTATTTTCAGTTATTAAATGATCTTTATTGGTAAAAAACTCGAGAGCAATATTATAAACATTTTTGTCAATAAAACAATATGGAATGTAAATAAGAGGAATATAAATAATTTTTACTAAGATACAAGGCACACAAATTAAAGAATAAACTTTGAAGCGGGAACATTTCCTGGCTTTTTAATTGGATGACATGTTTTTTGCGTGCACAGCTGTATATTTATTCAATTAAGTTTAACTTTCAAGAAAATGTGAGTCTGTGTTCAAACTCCAGTTGATATAAAAGTAGAAAATACGGTATTATGATAACAAAATAATAAGCACAAATGACAAAATAGAATACGTTTTATAATCTATACAAATAAAAATGAATTGATGTTCGTTAGTCTGATTAAAACTCGAGAACGGCTGGGCCGATTGAGCTGATTTTGGTTTTAAAATGTTTGTCGTAGTCCAGGGTAGGTCTAAACGGTGAGGAAATACGGGCGCGATATTGTTTTTCTGTGACAGACAAAATTCCACGCGGGCGAAGCCGCGGGCGGAAAGCTAGTTATAAATATAAATTAGAACTTTTGATATAAAAGTTAAAGACAGATTTTTTTGTTTAGTTTTTATTCCCAATTTTGACTATTCTTTGTTTGATATTTCGCGTCCTCTCATTAATGTGAACCGGAACAAAATGTTTATACAAAGTATACGCGAATACACACTACAACAGAAGCACAATGCAGTGGGACCATTTCTTTTAGTATGCAGAAATGCCTATTGTACTGGACGCCTCGTGTCGTATATGAACTTATTTTTATTTGAATGCGTAACTTTTACACAATTTCTTCTCAGCACCATAAGATGCTCAAGTAATTTTCTCTAAATGACGTAAACGTGAAAACCATTCAAAAGTAGTCCCTTTACAATAATTATGTCTCATAACAAGCATAAAACTTCTCCCTCCATATTTTATCTTAACATCAAAACACACAAGTGCACCTTTTGCGCAGTAGACCTACTACCCTACACTTACACTGCGCTCGCCCGCCCGGGGCCTACCGTCAAAATGCCAGAGTCCGCGCCCGTTTAAACATTAAATACGCCTGTAATAAGTTCCCATAACGAAATGGACGCGGGATATCAAAGAGTGTCTGTTTGGACCATATGCTGGGGTCAGATGAAAACCAAAATGTGTGTTGTTAAACACACAAGCTGAGAGCTAATACGATATTACGGTTTTGATACGGCTGCATATGCAAGGGTAATGAGTTTTGGGCGGAACTGGCGACGTTTATGGACAGTATTTTTGGTCGCATATCAGATAGCTGGGTTGCACCATCTTTAACTTTGACAAAGTCAAGAATTTGTCAAATTCAATACAAAAAACACCGGTTATCGTTAAAGTTATGCTTAAAGTTAAGTGGTACAACTCAGTCGTGGTAACTAGTGTGTTTTTCGACAAGGACATACCTTTTTACCTTTTTTTAAACCCTTTAAAAAAAGCATTTTCCAGACGGTTCCAATCAGTTCAGACGTGGACATGAAAATACGAATTGAAAACTTCCTTCTTTTTTGAAGTCGGTTAAAATATACATAAATGGGTGTTACCTGTATAAACAGCCATGAGGTGACCAGCGCCAGGCTGCTGTACTGCCCGTTGAAGCGGTAGTGGTATGCGTAGAACGAAAAGTGGTAGAGGTAAAAGAATCTGCGAACAAAGAAAAAATATTTTTAGTTTTGGCAGTTTTCACCAATTTTTTTAACCTCATACGTAAATGGGTGTTTCTCTGCTATTTGGAAAATCGTCCATACAAGACTGTCCTGAAGTAATTTTATTAATTGTTGAGAAATTTTGCTAATGAAATTCAGGGCAATAGTAATTTAAATACATATCTAAAAAAGCCCACACATTTTCCCCTTAGTTTTTGAGTTATTGGCGATTTTTCGCAAAACTGCGACAGGGGACTGTTGCAACCACCCAGGGGAATGTTTTATGGACAAAAACAATTAGTATTTTTCTTTAAGTAAACAAACTCTTTATTTTTCTTTGCCATTATAAAAATATGCAAGTTTTTGAAACAAAAAATATTATTATTAAAACAAATTTTACTAATTTATAATGACTTTTCTTAAGCCTAATAACAGTAGCATTAAACTTAACGAACAATTAAGTTTTAAGACTTAAATTGTATGACACTAAAGTCAGTCTTTATAATAATCAAAAATGTAGTATCCTGCCTTNACCTTATGCTTTGATTTGTGGGTAACGGTGGGTAAACCCATTTATGTATATTTTAAGTGTCAATTTGACCAAACAAATTATTTGGGATATAATATTTGGCAAAATAAAACATTTGCTGTATAAACATTTGCCAAGTAAAATTTGGCCAAATGAATTAGTTGCGAAAAGTACAGTTGCTAAAAGTTCATTTGGGAAATGAAACTTTGGCGATAAGTTGTTTGCGAAGTGAAATTTGGCGAAAAGTAATTTGGCCAAACGGAAGGATACCGAAATTAGCACAGAATACTGTACCCCTAATAACGGGTTTCGTAAAGTTAAGAACCGAGTCGGATCTCTCGACCGCACTCAGGAGGTAACTCATCAGCACGATTAGCTCAGTGTAACTTGTGCCTTGGTACATCTAATTCCATCGCAATAGTACCTACATACTTCCGAAATAAATCTAGTCAGATTCACACACGCCCAACAAATTTAATTATCTGATAAAATATCTATCATTATTACTGTATTTTAAAAGGCAGTACGAAATACTTATCGTGAACATAAGATTAAAATGTACTCTCAATTAGTTCTCACATTATCACACATCATCAACTACCTAGCACGCACAGCGCGTAAAATTATAATGTGATAGAATTGAAATTATTGTGCTAGTGCATTGAACTACTACCGTGATTCGCAGGGCCATTTGTCAGTACAAATTGTCATACTCGCGTGTGAAACCGCGACGGTATGTCCGCGGAATTGCATTTCGTTAGCGACTCGCCCGGGTTGCGGATTCCAGCTGTTTCGGACTCGGGCGGGACGATGTATACGAGTATGTGCGCATTTGATATTGTACATTTAAAATAATAGATCATAATGCAACGTCAATATCCAGATATTTTTTTCTATGTGAATGAAGCTGGCTTACAGCGTAAGCGTCTAATGTCTGGTCAAAGTAACTGTAAACTTAGATATGACTATACCATTATACCTTATTCATATACTTTATCTGAAACATCCTTTAACAAAACTGTTTTAACTAAAACACTGTTTAATTAACATTTGACAGAATGTAAAAAGCATTAAAACGGTGTTTTAAAGTATGAATAGGATATTAGCGTCATCTCAAGTATTTTAAGATGAGAATAATAAGAATCGAGGCGTGAATGTATCACATATCTAAATTAGAAAACCTATTAGATCAAAATAAATATATGTACTTAATATATCGGTTAACATGAGATAAAACAATATTTACTTAATCATCTCAGCATTATGTACTTTGCATTATATTTACATTCTCGTGGGATAACGTAAGGCTCTTAAGGTGACCTCGTCTCATCATTTTGATGGAGCTTCTCTATTCTGCGATACTTATTTAGGATTAAGCTATTAAACTTAACTCAATTTATGTTGAAAGCAAGCTTGTAAGGTAATTGCGTTCATCCTTTTATATTCCAACCCATCACATGCTAAGACGAGATCATAAAATATTCACAAAACGGAATAATACATATTAAATACGAAAATGTATGAAAATATACTTAAAGCGGACCGTCTTTTAACGTCACATCTAAGAAATTACATTATTAATAATCTTGTATAACTGAGAAAAACATTTTTTCGTAACATTTAGAATACCTACCACCCTTATTAAGTAGTTGAAGTTCTGAACGCTTGAGAAATAATAAAATATGAGATTCAGTTTTATGGTAACTTTTCTCAGTAGAGTATTTATCAGTGAAATCTTACATTCTACGAAATATAAGCCGTGTGGTGACGGCAGAGTAGAATACATTTGTCACCAACCCCTACTCTTCCCGCGGGTGTCGTAAGAGGCGACTTAGGGACTACACATCAAACAGAGAATGGGCAGCAGCGCTCTCTGAAAAACATCAATCCTTTAAACTGCGATCTCCAACCCGCCTGCCAAGCGTGGAGATTATGGCAAAACCCTCCACTATAGTGGAGGAGGCTCATAGTCCAGCAGTGGACTGTAAAGGGCTGTTGATGATTGATGATGAAGCATCGGTAAGTTGGTTTTCGGTGAATTGGTACCGCGGGAAATTAACATTTCTTTCTAATAAGACATCAATCAATTGTTTTCATTGAAATGAAAATCGATCATTTGAATTACAATTTTACGTAGAGATAACTTAGGTTGATTTGCACCACCTAACTTTGACCGTAACTATGACGATAACCGGTGTTTTTTGTATGGAGTTTGACAGATTTTTGACGTTTGTCAAGTTAAAGTGTGATGGTGCAATGCAGCCTTAGATTTTGCGTCATAATAAAAGTAGTACTTTAACCAATAGCCTAAGCGTCAAAAATAACTTGTCTATTTGAACACGGAATCTGTGTCTTGTATTGGAGGGTCCAGGTTCCGACACCGGCAAATAATATTCATGGCATTTCCGATGCTCGGTATTGTCGGCGCCGGCAGCCGGTCTCCGTAATATTGCGTTATACTTTATCGAATTTGCATGTTTTTACTGAATAACATTCCTTTGCGCACTCGAGATCAAAGGGCAAGGCGAAAGTGATTTCGCACTGAGTTAGTTCAACAGGATTCAGTTTCGTCCCCCACCTATCCGGCTGCTGAATAATTTTGATGTAATAAGCCGAATTTGTAAATGGGCATTTCGACTCTTTATAATTTATACGAGCTGCTCCAGTTTTGTGTTTACACGTTATTATAATGATGGGAATTATTGCACGTGACTAACTTAAGAGATTCAATAAACTCCTTTAAGCGTAAAATGTACTGCTTCTTATGACAAACTGTTAGCCAACTCAATTTGATACAGGCACGGAAATATTGAACAACCAATCAAGGGCCTTATTACAAAAAAGTTACACACAGCACACACGTTGAACATTGGTTTAAAATGTCATTTCCATACTAAATGACAAGAAAAAAACGGGAGTTTAATAAGCCTCCCATTTTTTTAATAAGCCCCTATTTGTTAAAAACGTTATGAATGAACTAATTTACACCTAAACAAAAACCGAAGCATAAATAAAAAAGTAAGTTGTTTCTTTATGAAATACCCTGTGTGCGTATGTCGCACTGAAAATTGCGTTTATTACGCTGGTTCAGGGAATTTGATTTGAAAGTGGACTGTATAGGTTTTTTATAATAGAAAATTGATGAAAGGTAGATCAGTCCTCGCAACACAGAGACAGGTAATCTGAGCTTCACCAACCTTAAAATCGACCCTCGCCACGGACGGAAGCCAACCTGCAGACGCACGGCGTTCTNTGCGTAGAACGAAAAGTGGTAGAGGTAAAAGAATCTGCGAACAAAGAAAAAATATTTTTAGTTTTGGCAGTTTTCATCAATTTTTTTAACCTCATACGTAAATAAAGTATGCAATGTGGTGTCACCATGCACACTTATGGACTCGTAACCTTAGCTAATATAACTATTATATCGACTATTGTGAAATTAGCGGATTACTAATGTTTGGCCAAAAAACGTTTCCCAAATTATCACATCGCAAACAACGTTTCGCAAATTTTCATTTGGCAAATTCTCATTTGGCTAAACAACTTATTGCAAACTTTTAATTCGCAAATGTCGTTTTTGGCATATTATTGTTTCGCAAATTATTGTTTGGCAAAGTATTTCACGATAAACTATTTACNTATCGAATTGGAGCCTCCGTTCTTGTCATAATACGCGTGTGTTGAGGCAACAACACCCATATTTTCTTTAGTTTCGAATTTACAGAGACCGGACGCCGACAATTGTGACGTCATTAACATTTTCCCATTACTGTGATAAAATATTTATGGACAAAATAACATTAACAAAATGCCGCTTCCGCTTTAGGATACTGTTGTTTCGAATAAAAACGCTGGGATAGCAAATTATTTTAGATTTTCAATTACGTTAGTAATAAATGGTTCTAAGAATAACTAATATTCTAAATTAATCGAATCTCTTAGCCATAGGAATACCTACATCTTGTCTGCCCGTTAATTTATTTATTTGTCTAAAACAGAGTAGAAAGAAAGAGTGGTTAGAGAGATACAAAGAGATATTTAAAAAAAATTGATGAAAGAAGTAAGAATTAGTAGACAAAATAGTTTTCGTTTCTTACACCTTTCTGAAAGCAATAATTTCACGGATCTCGTAATAAATAAACTTGACGCCAAAATTTCGGCTTTTCCTGAATATTCAGGCAATAAGTCGGACACTGATGATGCATGCTTGAAGAACTTTTTTATAAGGAACTTCCATCAACACCAACTTTCACTTAGCTATTTTCCGCGTGTGTTTAACTTACCTATGTTTAATGCGCAAGTAAAGTTTGCTACACATTGATCACATTAGAAAATTAACAACATTATTCCAGCATTATTGCTCCGAGTATAATCAAGAGGGATACTGATTTTCTTCAAGAACGCTTCAAGAACGCTTCTGAAAGCTTCAAGAACTTCTGTGTAAGGAACTCCCATCAGCACCAGCTCCC